AAAGAGAGGAGGGGAGTAAAATCAATGAAGAAAGAAAGAAAGAAAGAAAGAAAGAAAGAAAGAAAGAAAGAAGGAAAGAAAGAAAGAAAGAGAAGATCAAAGTGACAAACAGAAGCTGCAGACGGATGAAAGAATAAAGAGATGAGTGAAAGCTGCTGCAGCCGTCTGAGCTGCAAACGTGCAGAAAGCTCAAAAATAACCTCAAATATTCAGAAATACATAAAACAGAATATGAGAGAGAGAGAGAGAGTGTGTGACAGAGAGAGTAATAGAGTGAGAGAGTGAAAGAGAGAGAGTGTACTCACCCTGCAGTGATGCTCGGTCTCTCTGTTCAGACTGAAGATCTGCAGCTCAGCAGCATCAGCAGCAAACAGCAGCCTGCTGCATGACATCACCCAGGAGCGATCCGATTGGCCGGCAGGAGTACTGCTCTGTGATTGGTCCAGCAGGGCAGAGGGAGGAGGGGGAGGGGGAGGAGGAGGAGAGGGAGCAGGAGGGGGTGCAGATCAGTGGAGGTGTATTTCAGAGGAATCAGAAGGTTTACTGGATGAACGTTCTGATTATATTTTCTGATGGTTTAATTAGTTTGAATTAGAGCTCAATATACTGATCACTTCCCAATAACTGCTCAGCTGATCAATACTGTCTGATGAGGTCATGTGTTGCAAAGACACATCAGGTTGTGCAAAAGCAGAGAGCAGATTTAAAATGTGTGTATGAACCAGCTGCTGGAATTAGAATTCAGTCTTATTGTAATGAAACCACAGCTGGAAACTACAAAGTCTCTTTATCTCAATAAAACACAAAAATGAGCCAAAATAAATAAAATAATATAAAATAATATTTAATCTCTTGAACTCTGGTGTCTCCTGCAAAACAGCCATTAAACTCTAAATCAGTTCCTCCAGCACAACCCCAGACCCTTAACCCTAAACCCAGCCCTGACCCTAAATACAACCAGTGGCGTCAGACAGCATCATTTACAGCATATTTAATAGTTATTTTTTCACCTTTTACGGCCGGGCTACCAGACCCAGAACCCTGTTACCCGACTGAACCCGGCTACTTCCTGGTGATCTCAACCTTTAAACCTCATCTGCACGGCGGCCACACACTGCAGCACTGCTGACATCTTTATGATGCCATCTGCACAGAAATACAGAAATATATAACTCACACACTACCTCATTTATCAGGTTCTGCATGTGTTATTTATCTAATATATATATAATATATATACATATATTACATATATAAAATGTATATATATTTATATATGTATTCATCGTAGCTCTCCCTCTTTGTTTACATGCGTCTCTGCACATTGTGTTAAATGACAATAAAGTTGAATTGAATTAACATTTTGCTCCATTTTGTTCACCTTTGACCCCTGTGAGGAAATACCTCGAGGGTGCAAGGACAACACACACACACACACACACACACACTGCCTTTAAAGTCAAATAAAAGTTCAGAATCAGGAGGCAGAAACTGGATCTGGATCTGGTCTGATCTGGTTTGTTGGGTCGATGTTCTTCTGAGGAAATGTCAGCGCTAAATTTAAAAGCTGACAATGAGCTGTTACTCATCCTGTAAGACTCATCACATACACACACACACACACACACACACTGATCAGTGTTTGTGTGTTAACGCCTCCGTCTGCTGCTCGGCTGTCTGTCACTGCTCATTCAGACTCACAGTGCAAACAGCTTATTCACAAAGTGAAAGAAGGTGAATTTAATGGAAGAACATCATTCATTTATTTATTGACCTTTTATTGTGTGACTTTATTCTGGAGGTCAGACCCGGTTCTCGTTCAGGTCCCAGAACCTCCTGCTGCTGTCTTCAGTCTCTGCCTGATTTCACTGCAGCTTTTTAACAAGGTTTTTAGGCTGTTTGTTTTTAAGAGAGTGAAAACTGCAGAGTAGTTCTGATTTGTTTGTATAATTGATTTCAAATGAAAGTGTGGAGGGTCAGTGTGAGACGTTCATGCACACGTCTGCATCTTCAGCTGGAAACAAAGCGGTGAGTTTGGTGAAGGAAACTACAATTAGGGGTCAAATCTGCAGAGAAGTTGCAGCGATTGGACAAAGTTTGTGTGAGTTGTTAGTCGTTTGATCAATAAAAATCATTGATCATCCTGAGTGACACTACATAGAGTTTATATTTGCATGGTTCGAGCGTGGAGGATATTGTGACCACGCCCACATTAACTCTGTATGGATACATTAATTCAGTGTTCATTCGTTTATTCTCATTTCACTGATTCATCTGAGTCTTTATTGAAGCTTCAGTCGCTCTGTGTGAGAGACTACAGCTCCCAGCATGCATCAGGGCAGAACACAGTGTCCTCACATACTCGTCCTCCTCGTCTCCTCACACTCAAACAGATGATGTAATGCAGCTGCAGTGTGTGTGTGTGTGTGGAGCAAGGTGAGCGAGAAGCTGCAGCAATGAGAGAGAGAGAGAGAGACCTCTACATCCCAACTGATGATGTCACCTGCAGCCAATCAGCTGAGAGCTCTCCGAGCCACACCAGTGTGTATGTGTGTGTGTGTGTGTGTGTGTGTCAGATCAGGATTCAGCAGAAACAACAACAACAACAACAACATCTGCAGAATAATGTTTGTTTGAAGAGCTGCTGCAGCTTTATTTCTACAGGACACAGCAGAATATAATATAATATAATATAATATAATATAATATAATACAATATAATATAATATAATATAATATAATACAATACAATACAATATAATATAATATAATATAATATAATATAATATAATATAATATAATATAATAATAATATAACATAATATAATATAAC